TAGTAGTAGTAGTAGTAGTAGTAGTAGTAGTAGTAGTAGTAGTAGTACTAGTAGTAGTAGTAGTAGGTCGGGGAGAGGTTGTAGCAGTTCCTCAGTTCCACAACTCAGTTCTCAGACTGAATTGTGCGAGGATTCCAAGGATCTCAGTGGATTGAGTGGCTAAGCAATGGAAGACCAAAGGCTCAGCTACCAAGATCAGCAAGGTGGTGGTGGTGGTGGTGGCGGCGGTGGTTACTACAAGCGATTGTCTATTAAACTTTCAGCAGGGAGGAAAGACAATTGAAAAATGTGGACTCTGGGAGAAATGCATATTCAACCCACAAAACAATGCAGGGGTTGGAACTAATCTGGAATAATTACGCGAAAGCTTTCAGTACTTCCGTCCTATTCACAAATCAGGACGTCACCACCGGGTAGTTGAAGGCCAAAGGCTGTAAACGTTCCCCTGACGGCGTAGTTTGGGACGCTTGGAGGCATTGAACATGCTGGTGCAGAAGAAAGTGAGGACCTTGGACGCGGAGGTCTGCAAGTTTAAATATCGCTACTAGTAACAAAGGACCTTACTACTAGGACCAAGGATGCTACTAGGTTCTCCTGGCCTTACTACTACGAGCAAGGACGCCACTAGGAACAATACGAGTTTAAGTACCAGTGGCAGCAGTGGTCCAAATCTGTATGGTCCCGAAATAAGGAACCTGTCTGGAAGGGAAGCTTGATTGGCATCGTGCATGCGGCAGGCAGAGCTGTATGGAGCATGTTCTGCAACCTTCAGGAATCACCAAGCATGTTTCTTCAACCTACTAACGATGGCCTCCAACCTACTAGCGACCTTGCTCCTAGTAGCGATGCCAGGAGCCGCTAGTAGCTTCTTGTTGCTAGTAGTAAGGCCAGGAGCCCCTAGTAGCGTCCTTGCTCCTAGCATGTTTCTTCCATCTTCCCAGGTTGAGATCCTGACCCTCCCCTGCTTGCAGGTGTGCAGGAACTTACAGCAATCACTTCTCACCTTCCTGGCAAGTTCGAGTTCGTCTATGCGCCAAAAGTGCAGGCCAGCGCTAGAGACAGGCCAAGGCAAGGGAATGGGGTGACAATTGTGGTGACAGGCGGCATGGAACCTTCACCAAAACTCAGCCGTGATCTAGTTCGGAGCTCGGTGGAGAAAGGGATATAGGGGTCAGTTTGTGCATCAGCTTCGGTATTTGCAACATTCTCAAACAACCGGGTACAGCCTCACCGCCTCACCTACACCTACTTTACTTGAGCCTGCAGCAGCTGCAGCAGTTTCTGGTTTTCAGATACTGGCTGCAAGACTCGTAAATTCACACATCGCTACTAGTAACAAAGGGCATTTCTACTGGGAGCAAGGACGCTACTAGTGGCTCCTGGCCTTACTAGCTACTAGGAACAACCCAAAAACAAACTCCGTCGATTCTTGTTTCCACTGCATGCTGTGAGAAGGCCCTGAAGTGAGTTGAGTGGGCTATCGGGGAAGGCAGAGAATGGCATCCTTCCCGAAGAAACTCCCAAGTGCAAACATCTCATTGAGCCAATGACACACAGCAATGTAGAGATGGTATTGAAATGTCTTGAAGAACTTGAATGGATTGCACATGCCATGTTTTGAATACATGACCCATATGTTGGACCTCCCCATCGCTATTAGGTTGAAGGCCATTGCTACTGTATTAGGTTGAAGGCCACCGCTATTGGATTCCTTAAAGTCTTTTTCTAAGGGTATTTTGTTGAACCATATTTTTACATGTTGCTACTCAATTGCCATTCCAGTCTGGTGACCCAGGTTTGGCATGGCTGGGCGTCTTCCCTGAGCGTGGGGATGTTCGAGCAAAGAACATAGCCTCCAACAACATAGCACTGTCAAAGAAGGCACTGCAAGTAGCACTGCATAGCCATCGCTATTAGGTTGGAGGCCATTGCCATTAGGTTTCTTATTTTTTGAAGCAATGCAAGTAGCACTGCATATATAGTAGGTTGTCTCAAGTTGACTCCCACTTCACGTAGGAGCATAGTGTGGTGAGCATCCGAGCCAAAGGAACACAATCAATCGCATTGAGTCAGCTACGTGTGGACCAACAAGTACATCCGAAAGCGTGCTGCAAATGCTGCTGACAGTATTTGGACTGTGTAATTAGGATTAATTAGGTGCAATCAGACCGCATGAGGCGGAACGTGGGGCTAACATCAGCGAGGCAGATGCCTGCATCCTAAGTGTTTTAGTTGAGCCTTTCAGCCGGGCTGCAGAAGGAAGAGAATGGAAACAGGAAAGTCCACAGATCTAGTAAAAAGACAAAGGAAAAGAACAGAAAACAACTTGGACGCATCCAGATCATTTTTTACCTCAGGTTGCAGCTGTGGTGGCAAAGGCTAAAGAGCTCATGGCTGCAGGAGCAACTGTGGAGGCTAAATGCAGCTTTTATCTTGCTTCTCTCATTCTTTCTTTCCTTCTTGTGAATCTTATGTCTAGAGCTGTCTATTTTCTACTACACTTAGCTCTTTCTTTCCCGAGAGACGATGGAGACAACTGGGTACTGTATTCATTCAATGGATATTCTTGTTTTGTGGTGGTACAGGCAGATATTGACGAGAGCTTTGCTGCAAAGGCTGCTACTCATAGAATTTGTGCGAAGGGTGCCAACAGATCAAACATGATCAAGCATGATCAAAACTCATAGTCATAGTCTCAAGTTCGGTGAATGCTGTGTCTGAGATTTCCTCAGTTTCTACGCCACTTCCACACGCCCATCCAGCCCTTCTGTGCGTTCCTGGGTGGAGTGTGTGCACAGGAGGCCGGAACGGAGGAAAGGACCATCTGAAGATTTTTGTTTGATCGAAGCCGATCCGAGCTGTTTCAGTCTGACAGGTTGTGAAGGTGGCAGGCAAGTTCACACCAATTCCTGGATGGTTGCACTTCAATGCCCTTGAGGCACAATCCGGAAGTTTGATGTGTACAGTGTAAAACAACATCACACTGAAAGGGAAACGCATGAACAGGATGCCTCTAACCTCAGATTTCCAATAGTAGTCGCAGGTCTTGCCAGATGAGCTGCCTTCTGACACGGCAGCGCAAGGAAGTCGGTGCCACGACAGCACCGGTGTGTGGAGCATTACAGAAGCCTTTTTCGAAGTCCAAGCTATAGAGGAAGAGGACGCTACTAGGGGCTCCTGGCCGTACTACTAGTATATAACAAGGACGCTACTAGGGACAAGAAGCTATAGTATGACGGATCTTAACTGCTATTGGCGCTACCATCAACTTCACGCGCTTTGTTCATGAGGGGTTGTACTCAAGGTATGATTCACTTGCCTCTGTCTTTGGACATTCCTTCATCAAGAAGCTCCAAAAGCTCAAGTGCGCCAGCTCTAGTGCTTTGCCCGGCAGTTTTTCTCTGTCTAGAAGGCCTTGCAGCATTGGCACCTGCGTAGCCAGTGCAACACTAGTGTAGCGTTGCACAGCTAGAGAGCCACCTTGGCTTTTTCCTGCATTTTTGGGCTTTCGATTTTCGCTTGCGCCGTTTTCAGAACCACCCTTTGCACTGTGCTCGTACCCTTTTTGTAGCGTGATCGCTATTAGGTTCGATGTTCGTTGCATGGCTTGTTCGGTGTTCGTGCTCCAAGTGATCCCAGGTACTTCATGGTGGGCTGTGGTGCTTTGGGGTGTGAGTTCCTTGGCAAAAAAGGTGTTTCGGGACAACACTCCAATCGCAGTTAGCTTCGACGGCAACCTACAACATACTATAGCTTCTTGTCCCTAGTAGCGTCCTTGTTCCTAGTAGTACGGCCAGGAGCCCCTAGTAGCGTCCTTGCTCCTAGTAGCGATGCCAGGAGCCCCTAGTAGCTTCTTGTCTATAGCTTGCCTGAGAGCTTCTGAATTCAATGTTTACGCTTCCTGCAGGTTTCTGAAGAACTTTGCTCTCAACGGTGTTTGTTGCGGCCCTGATGGCTTGTTGACTGCTGGGTCCTCGAAGATCTCGAAGTAGCGGATCATTTGCTTCCCGTGCATCCATATGTTCATCCTATGTTCATCCTATTTTCATCCATTTTCATTCATTTTCATCCTTTGCCGAATCTTCTTTCGAATCGTGTGTTTGATGCTCAGGTCACCGATGCTGATCGCATCGAGCTCTCGAACCTGACCAGGCAGTCGAAACCTGAGAGACCAAGCCAGAGCCAGCCGGCAGAGCATCAGCAGGTCATGGATTCCTTTTGCTCCGTTTCGGTGTGAGGTTTCTCTTCAGGGAGCACAACGTAGGTCAACCAAAGAGCAAGGCAGCCACTGCCATGGCTCAGGCTGCCGAAGCTTTCTGGTGTTTCAATTTCGTTTTCAGCTGCTGATGTCCTTTTTGCAGATCATGAACCCTGGCATGAAAGTCCTGGCCTTGGCCAGGAGGATTAAATCGGTGGTTCAACATGCTTCAGCAACAAATTATGCTGAGAAACATACAAGTGGCCTCCAACCTAAGAGTGGCCTCCCTAATTGTGACCGCTGTCCTAGGTTCGGGCTTTGGAGATGTTTGTTGGACCCAAGACCGAGGACTGAACGACGTATGATCACGTTTGTGGCGTCAAAACAGAACGTCGAGAGCTGCCACATACGAGAGCTGCCACATACGGGCAAGAAGCTACTAGTAACAAAGACGCTATTAGGTGGAGGCCATCGTAAGTAGGTTGGAGGCCATCGCTACTAGTAATAAGAAGCTACTAATACGGCGGGTATCTTACAAACGATCTTAAAAAGACGCTGAGTTTGAGACTCTGAGACCAAACACGATCTCGTTTGTTGAACCATCTTCTCTGGACATCCCAGCACAGCTGTTCTTTCATGACACAAATCATTGCCATACTCATTCTTCGCGACTTTGTGCTTGCCAGGACACTTTCAATGATGATTTTTGGCTAGGGCTGGATGGCATTTGCAATGCTCTTGACAACATGGAGGCCAAAGGGCAACTACCTGATTTCTTGATCGTGACTATATATACTGTATATATATATATATACATAGTCAAAAGTGATGTGTCAGGCTCGCTTCTATGTGGATGATCAGTGTGTGAAGTACGAAAGACCGTTGCTGGAGAGTGGTGCGCATAGGAGCAGTTGAAGTTGGTGAGGACATGGCCAGACTATCAAGATCGAACAGCTTTCCTTTGTAACCTTCTACTAGCCACGCCTCAGAGAATGGACGTCATTACAAACAAGAACGCACGTGTTTTGCTCGTTCCTGCTGTTATTTATTTTTCCCTCATTCCGATCCTTCCTTCCTTTCTTTCGCCAAAGAGCGCTCTTTATAGTGACGACGACGACGACGACGATGATGAATCATCATCATCATGACAGTGCAATCGTTTTTTCATGGTTTTCATTGTGGAGGTACGATGGGACCAGCGGGAAATGTTGACCCAGTCGTCCCTTTCAAGACGCACACGTGCCTCACATCAGATCACATTAGCAATTGCAATCTATTCACTAGAATCAATTCAAGCGAAGTGTTTTCTTTTTGGAGGCTTTCCACTTGGGAGCACACACAGCCTCACTTTTCTGGCAGCAAGTTTTGAAGTCAAGCCAAAGAAGCTAAAGTCTTCAAGTTCTTCGCCAGCAAAGTATCCTGGCAGAATCCTGGAATGGTTGGAGTGGTGCTAAGCATCCTGGTTCTTTGCCTGTCTGCACATGCTCGAAATGAGACTGAGCACAGGGAGCACAAACGCAAATACACGGTTGGTGTCTTTCTTCGGAGCAATTGGAGTTCGCTTCATCGCCTGGCGCGAGAGATCTCTGATCCCAGGTCAGCTTCCTATGGGAAATATCTGGACCAAACAGAGTTGGCCCAAAGAATCGGTCTAAACGAATCGGAAGCAGCTGCCCGTTCTTTGCAGAAGGCATTGGTGCAGGCGCAGGCAGCAGATCAAAATCGACCTCACATTGTGGCTCACAGAGATGCAGTACTCATGAGCGTCGAAGACTTTTTTGCCACCTACGAGCTGGGACCAGCATTGACTGGAAACCTCTCACATGCCTTTCCGCGCAGCGTTCACATGTTAGTGACGCCACCGATGCCAGATGGTTTGTGCAGTAGCTTGGGTGAAGAGGATTGCAAGAACAAGAAGCCGTGCAAGTGGCATGAAAAGAAGAATCGACTCCAGACGCAGCACCATTGCAACGTTACAAATCATAGCAACTTTAGCAACGAGAGCAACTGTAGCAACTGTAGCAATTGTAGCAATGGCAATCGCAATCATTCCAAGTGTGGAGGGGACTTTGCAGGATGGATTTGCTGGAGAGAGATTGACTTTCCTGATTCGCTTCGCCCGGAAGCGCAGTGGCACTGTTTCGAGCCTTCAGACTTCAAGAATGTCAACTCCTCAAACGCCTCGGCACAAGACTCCGTGCGTTTGCGGCGCCGCAAGGGTGTCAACATGCTTGCCTTGGCGCGTAAACGGCACAGAGACCGCTTCCACGCTGTTCCCAGAAGTGGTGGCTTCGCACTTCTCACCCGGATGAACTTCAGTGAATCTGATTGGAGAAGCTTTGAGATCACCTTCGTTCAAGATGGCCTCACGCAGAATCGCCTTCTTAGTCGAGCAGACTTCACACCACGCCATGACTATCACATGGCATCAGTAAGCTCATTGAAGAATCTGCGCCATGTGAACGACATTTTTGTGTGCTTCAACACAGCAAATGACACAGTGATTGCTCACCAGGCTCAAGGTCAACCAGGCTGCGACTGCAGGAACGGGACGGACCGCCTTGGAAGAGAGTGTGAAAGGATTTGGGCACTCGGAGATTTCCAATCTGGCCACGTGCTACCAAGAGCTGTGCAATCGCTGGACGCCCTGTATGAAGATTTGCAGGCACTCCAAAAACCGCCCAAAAGTGAAAGTTGGAGAAAAATGCCTTACTAGTAGTAACAAGAAGCTACTAGTAACTGCGAACTGCCACAACAGATACCATACCAGTGTCCATTTTCGGAGGGCAACTCTCTCACCGTTTAAGCATACCCCAACTGTGGATTCGATGTCGCATGATTCTGGTGGAGCTAGGGACTTCTTGAGTGTTTGGGGGCTCATACTGCAGCAAAGAGGAAGAGGGAGGAAGGAAAGGGGAGGATGAGAATGCGAAGGTCAGTTATTTTTCACCAGCGTTTTCTTCTGGATCAGTGTCATCTTGTTGTCTTCTGACTTGTGACTTGTGTAGCGTCTGGGTGGTAGAGCTCTTCTCGTTGGCAGTCTTGTGGAGCGCTGCGGTAGTAAAGCTAGAGGAAGAGGAAGGAGCAGCAACAACACCAAAATGTACAAAGAAACACGAAAAACCTTTTGCAGGCTTCTTGTAACTTCAGCGCACTTGCGGCTTGCATGTAACGGGGGGGTGCGCTGTTTTAGCATCGCCAAAAACAGGGCCAAACGAAGCAAGCTATGCAGTTTGACCTGCCCTGCATAACTCGCATTTTTTAAGCAGAAGGAAAGAACACACCAAAGAACTCTGAAGAGTTCGATGCAATTTGTGAACGAGCGCATCCCCACACAACCTTCCCCCCCAAAAAACTCTTTAGGTTGGAGTCGGTTGGAGGCCATCGTTGCTAGGGTGGAGGCCATTTAGAATATTAGTATTAATATTTGTAGTAGAAAGGCCAGGAGCCCCTAGTAGCCTTCTTGTTACTAGTAGTAAGAAAGCTACTAGTAGCGATGCCAGGAGCCCCTAGTAGCGTCCTTGTTCCTAATCAGCTCGAGTTTTCTCATCCAACTTATAACAGAAACAATGTAGGAACAAGGACGCTACTAGGAGCAAAGGGCATCGCTACTAGGAACAAGAAGCTACTAGTGGCTCCTGGCATCGCTACTAGGAACAAGGATGCTACAAGTATAAACATATCTCGGACAATGCCGAACCCACGGACCATTTGCTCGATCACACGTCTCACATACCTCTTTACAGCTGGCACCACTGCACAGTTTTTCATAATTAGTACTGGCACTATGGTGTTGCACATAGTAGCGATGTAGGTCGAAAAACAGGTTGTTGATTGAATTGTTTGATTGCTTTGAACGTTGTTTCTGGTCGACACCTGGCGATGAGCCAACCTGTGTTTGGTTTTCTCATGACTAGTGCTTTTTTGTGATTCTTTGCGTGCACCACCGCACAGGTGCTGCCCCGCGAACGAGGCCCGGGTGTGCAAGGAACGCAGGCTGTAGCTCAGTTCAATGACGAGTCGTTCATGCAAGAAGATGTTGTGCACCTACACCGTGCCTATGGATTGTCCCACAGAACAGCCGTTATTCAAGTCCACGCTGCTCGTGGCAAGAAGGACAACTCTGATACAGGAGGTGAGGGATCATTAGATTTGCAGACGATTACTTCTCTTGCGCAAAGTGCTTCAACAACCTGGTGGGGTGTAGATCCTTTTGTGATTGATGGCTTCATGTTGGCTTACACCGTGGATGTGAATGATCACCCATCACCGCCACTGGTGCACTCAATCAGTTGGGGTGATGCCGAAGCCTTATATCCAGCTGCTTTGGTGGAACGTTTGGACTACGAGTTGATGAAGTTCGCCCTTCGAGGCCTCACGGTCATCGTCGCGAGTGGCGACAACGGCAACAGTGCCGTGGGCTCGGACTGCGAATTCGTCCCCGACCTGGTGGGGACCTCTGAGTGGGTCACCTCCGTGGGAGCTACAATGCCCTCATTGGATGCGAAGCCTTATTGCAAAGCCTCCGAATTCCAAAAGCACTTTGGCGATTGTGAGGAATTGGGGCAAGTCACTTGTTCCACCAAAGATGGGGCTCTCATCACCAGTTCGGGCTATTTTAGCGTCTACCGAAGGAGGCCCAGCTATCAATACCATGCCGTGGAATCCTGGCGTCAGGCTTCCAACTGTCTTCCCGTCAGCAACTGCAGCCTTGAAGACTGCCCAGTCTGCCCAGTCCATGCAGATGAGCTGAACGTGAGCCATGACACGATGAAATTAAACAAGCTCATGATCCCATGCCAACACATTGCTCCTACGGGATGCTCACTGAAAGCACTCCTCAAGGACAGCAGGGCTGCGCCAGATGTAGCACTACCGGGTCAGAGCTATCCTGTTGCTTTGCTGAAGAAGAACCACGCGTTGTACGTTGAAGTTCCCAACATGTTGGGTGCTTAATAGCTTTGCATGTTTTTTAGTAATAGCAAACATTGTTACTACTAGTAAGGCACCTGTTACTACTAGTAAGGCACCTGTTACTAGTAGCGATGCACTTGTTACTAATAGCTTCCCGAAATTGAACAAACCACATGCTTCGTAAGCTGTACTTGTGAGCAGCACATCGCTGTTGCCCTGCCGACGACATCGAGAGCGTGAAGATGCCAATCCGGCGCTCCCGACTCCCCACCACAAATTTAGTTCGCTCCTGACACACACACACATGTGATGTGGGCAATGTCGAATGATGTCGATAAACATTAATGAACATGTTTGAGAAAACGATGACCATGTAGTGAAGATGGTGATGACGACATCAAGAAATCAGAACTGCAAAACTGTTTGGTGCATTGAGCTGGGCGCCAAAGGTGATCGTGAACAAGAGTGTGATGACTTTCGATGGCACCTCCGCCTCCGCGCCGGCGTTGGCAGCGTTGATCTCTCGTTGGAACGGCGAGCAGCTGCGGAACGGGCGGCCACCTTTGGGGCTTTTGAATCCGTGGCTCTACCAGGCAGCGATTAGATGCGAATAGCTATGTATAGGGAGGCAGCATTTTTTGAAGCTACAATAAGCCAAATAGCTTATACTTAGCGAACGGACTAAGGGAGGCATATAGTGGATATTAAGCTGGCACGCGACGCGCTCTTTGCAGCTTCTTCAAGAAACTCCCACGAAACTCGGTTCCATCACGTATCATCACATGTTTGTGAAGCAGATGGCGAGACTAATGGAAATTTGTGAGTGACATGTTGTGAAACATTGTGGCATCATGCACAGTGCATGGTGCACTGAGTGTACTCAACACGTCCAGTTTCTAGGTGCATGCCTTGCATCCGGAAGCTTTCCTGGATGTGTCTGAGCTGCAATGCTGTGCAACGCAATGCATCGGAGAGGTTGCTTCAAGCTATGGGTTTCAGGGGATCGTTGGTACAACCTTGATTGACTGCATGGTTGTTTTCCTGCAATAATCCCTGCATGGTGCTGTCTTCCAAGGTGCTGTGATTTCGAAACCGCTTGGAAGATTCTGTTGGGTTTTGTTTTCAAGTCCTGCGTCAAACAAGGCCAGAATGTCGCGAGCAGCTCTGAACATCTAATCCCCCCAGAACACCTGACAGCGACGAAGATAGAAACACCAAATCGAGAAGGCATCGCTATGTTCAGTTTGCGAGCCCCTGCCAGCTCAGGTTGTGGTTGGTGACACTGCATCAACAGAAACGCAATTGTGTCCATTTGGTTTCTTAGCAAGCCCTGGCTGGGATCCTGCTACTGGATTGGGGGTTCCTCGCTTTTCTGCCCTGCGAGAACTACTGCCGCGCCTTGGTTGCACTTGGTGAACCCAGAAAGAATGGAAGAAGATCCGCATAAGACTCTATCTGAATAGACCTAGTAGGAACAAGAAGCTACTAGGGGCTCCTGGCATCGCCAGTAGGAGCAAGGAGGCTACTAGTAGCTCCTGACTCTATCTGAATAGCGTGAATAGACCTACTGCCTAACGGTAGACCCACTGCCTACCGGGATCCGGTCGCTCAGGAAACGCAATGAGACTTGTCAAAGTGACACGCCAACGGCCTTGCTTGAGAGGACTGAAGGGCTTCAAAACTGCTTAGTTTTGCAATAGCAAATAGCCAGTAGCTACTAGTAGCTTCTTGTTACTAGATGTTACTAGGAGTAGTGGCCTCCAACCTACTGACGATGGCCTCCAACCTAGCAGCGAATAGCTACTGAAGGACTGAACCGCCCTGTGCAACATGAACCGCCCTTCTATGTCCTTGCGAATTCGACAGGACACATGAAATAGGCTGGCGTTGGCCCCTAGCTGTGGTGATCACAACAATAGGCGTGGTCTTTCGTTTCCTCACGTCCTTGCATATCGAATGTGTTGGAGATGCTGAGTATCATCTTCATAAAGTAGTGACCAGCGATGCTTGGAGTTTGGCATGACGCTTTGGCGCCACTGAGATCTCGTTTTCAGGTCTTGGTTTGGGCCTCGTGACAGTCCGAAGGCGCAATGAAGTGAACACCTTTCATCCAAACAAACTGAGACTGCCATTGCTGAGTGCCTCGTAGAGCAATGTGCCTCCAAGAGGACATCTCGTTTGCAACTTTCCAAAGTCTGCCATTGTGGGCCCAAAAGGCATCCAGAAGGGTCCAAGATGGTCCGAGTCCATGTTGACTGAAGATGGTGTCACTGTGCGCAGTGAAGATCTTGCAAGACCTCTTGGCAAGACCCATCCCATCTGACATCCTGCTTGAGCTGAGCTGTGAGGGGCAGCTCTGTGTGGGCATGTCACCTCAGAATACCTCAGAACGGGAGAGCGAAGCAAAAGAAGCAGAAGTGACGGAGACCACCTTGGAGACGATGTGCGCAGTCGCTTGTGCGATGCGACCTAGACTTCGAGAGGTTGCCTTCCCATCCTTCCCTAAATATCCGTTGAGGTACCGAGATGGTGGTCAAGCAGATGAAGGTGGTGGCATCCCGATGCAAATGCCTCAGATTTGATCACTCAAGACAGATCCTTCGTTCAGCTTGTCGTCCGTTTCATGGAGAGGAAGGTGTCTCTTCCAAGGGTTGTCAGTGTGGACGTTCAAGCTTGGCACCTGTTTCCCTCCGAAATAGGTGTACACTGCGAAACTTTCCGCACCTACCCGATCACTGCATAGAGTGGGTGCTGCCAGCAAGTTGCCATTCTTGGCCTGTTCGCCAGAGAGATGACAGAGAGAGGGGGGCAGAGGAGAGGCAAGTACTAAAAATTTTTACATGCAATTGAGAAGAGAAAAAAGAGTACTTTCAAGCGATACGAGCCTGTCGTGAGACATGGTCTCATAGCAAAGAAGGTGGTTGCATCAAGGCCCATTTTGGTGATGTTCACGACAGGCTCGTGATCAATTTGAGCTGTTCTTCGTGAAATCAGTGAAGCAGCTCAAGAAGTTCAATGAGGCCATGCAGGGGTCTGGAGCGTCAATTCCCTTGTCCTTAAACGCTCAACCAAGGGATTTGCGATGTCAGAAGTACTTTCAAGATTGAAAGAACGCCAATCTAAAAGGCAGACAAAGGAAAGGACAAGTATATGCCTAAAGGTCTACAGAACAGATAAAAAGAGACCACTTCTTGGGACAGAATTCTCATGACTTGGTGACTCATTGGCCTTTCAAGGCATCCAGTAGAACTGTTTGACATGTCTTTTGGTTTCCAGCTCTCTCCCAGGACCCTGGGACATTCATCGGCGACATCAGCTCCAGCACGGATGTCACGCAATCCATCTTTGAGGCACCTTCTTCTTCTTCTTCTTCGAAGTCTTCTTCGTTCAATGAATTCACATAATTTCCTTGTTTGAGTCTGAATATTTTGAAGCTGCCAGTAGGGTAGGCTGGGAAAGCTTAAATTGAACGTGGAAGACTAAGACTATGATTTTTGGATTCCACTCAAGTTGACGAGCTTTTTCTTTCTACGGTCGGAATCCAGCTTCCCGGCTTTTTCGCGAGACGCTGATGTTGTTACTAGTAGTGTCCTTGCTCCTAGTAGTAAGGCCAGGAGCCCCTAGTAGCGTCCTTGCTCCTTGTAGCGATGCCCTTGTTCCTAGTAGCGTCCTCTTGTTCCTAGTAGCGTCCTCTGTTCCTAGTAGTTATGCTCTTTGGATCTGCTACATTGTCGCGAGGTGAGAGGCCTTCTCTCCTTGCTGAATGCTGCAGCCAGTCCGAGCATTGAAAGCGCTGGGCAGACGGCTTTCGGTGCGTCGCTCAGCCGTGCTGAGTGGCAATGACAGCCTCGCAGAAATACTTAAAAGATCGAAGTTCCCTAGTGGCGTCCTTGCTCCTAGTAGTAAGGCCAGGAGCTCCTACTGTAGTAGCGTCCTTGCTCCTAGTAGCGATGCCAGGAGCCCCTAGTAGCATCCTTGCTCATTGTTTCATGCCGTTGAAAGTCTGACAGACCTGTATTTTGATTGTTGACAGACTTCTTTCATCTCCTCTTCCGGGACAAGATCTTGGATTTGACTGCGGCCTTTCCAGCAGATGCCCGGATCATCGATCCAGACACGAAGCAGGAGCGAGCACATTTGTCCAAACTGAGACATAGCAGTATGCATTAGCATCATTGTAAAAGCTTTCAGGTGTTTTGCATAATTTTCATTTCGGAGGACAAGGGACTCTTTTGGTCTGGCCACAAGAGGCCTGGTCTAAGTGCGGCCAAAAAGCACTTGCAGAATGCACCTAGAAGCGATGGCCTCCAACCTACTGTGAGGAAGTTAAGTTTCCCTTTAAAAACTCTAGGAACCAAATGATGAGTGCGTTTGCTTTCCTGCGTCTCAGCGACTACTAGTAGCTTCCTAGGTCGACTAGCTTACTTGCTCCTCTACTAGCAAAGGGCAGCGATAGAGTCACACAGTGGGTCTGTTCGGGCCGACAGCTCCTGAATTCGGCCTGTTCGGTGTGTCCTGAATTCAGGTTTCCACAGTCCACAGCGTTCGATGTGGAGAAAGAGACACACCGGCGCTTTTTGGTTCGGCTCCTCAGTGTGCGTGTATCTGTGTTGCTCTTGCCTTCGGCCTTAGCAAGTTTGGCTTTCTGAATTCTCCACTTCTTGGCATTTTACCACCACGCTTTGACGGCCACTACCACGGGTAGAACGACTGACCCAGGCGGCCTCCACAGCCCTCTTCGCAGCGATGCTGGGAGCCGTGCCACAAAAGCAGGAGGGCGACAACACCTGGTGCCAGGAGACCGAAAAGATTTAGCGATGCTACGAACGGAGCAAGGACGCCACTAGTACTAGCAAATAGCATCAAATAGCTACTAGTAACAATGAAGCATGTGTTTTTAGAGGGGTAGGGTGTGAGGTGGTTGACCCTACTTGAAAGGATTTTGTTCCTAGATGTTTGATTTGTTCTTTCTGGGAAGCTCAACTGCTGTACCTCCTATCAAGCGCAGGGCTGGAATCACGACACCGGCTCGCCTCCAACCTAATAACGATGGCAAGAGAAAAGCGGCTTGCAGAAGTGGCTAGCGGCTTGTCAACAAGCCTTGCAGTGCAGGATTTTAAGAGTAAAGCATGGGCTGCAGCACTAGTCAAGGCCGGAGTCAGTCGATAGAGTCGATAGAGCATCAGCACACATCATGATGCTGAATTTTGAGGAAAGGTGAAACCTGGAACTACAGACTAGTTACATCTAGTTACTATAGTTGAGGTAAATGCAATGAATTGGTTTGAACTCACAGCATGTGCCAGAAGCTGAAAGTTCCTGAGTACGTCGCGGGTGGAGTGAACACCGATGGCACCAATCTCAGCTAGTGTCGAAGCCGCTGTCTTGTGACAGGCAGTCGAGCGCAGTGATACGGCGCTGCCGATTATTTAAGTATGCCCTGCCTTGATTGAAACAGATGGACATGCATAGTAGTTAAGTTTACCTAAAAATCTAGGAACCAAATCATTAGCGCGAGCTATCCGTCCTAAGTAGTAGCTACTTGTTGGCTACTAGTTACCTACCTCTAGCGGCCTACCCCGCTTCCCGGGCTAAACAAAAAGAAACATGTCCTGGAATTCGGCAAGGAACTGTGGACCGTGCCACGTTTTCTGCTGCAAGCAGCACTCCACACCAGGCTACTGGTGAATTTTGATAAGAGCAAAGGGCAATTGGACAATTTTCGACTTGACCGTTTGGGGGTAGAAAAAGCAACGTTTGGATCGTGGTACAAGCCGCAGACTGGGAAGGAGATCAGCCCTTCAACCTGCACAAGAGCGTTCTTGATTTCCACTGGATTTGTCACAGGTGCTGTGAAGTCTGGAATTGCCGGCATCTTGTTGTCTAAGGTGATGCCACAGCGAGCGGCGTCACTGCAGGGGTGAAAGCAGACTCCAAGGTGCTTCGCGACCCAAGTTTGCAAGGATGCAGTGCAGGTTTGTTTGCCTTTGAAAGTCTTTTCTTTGGTGGCTCTGTTGTTGAAGCGCAAAGTTGGAGCAAGATGCCAGGCGATTCTCCAGGGGCTTTTGCAACAACTGCAGGACAGACTTTGATTCCGGTAGCAAATGGACCAAGCAGTAATGCAAACGGACTTTTGTTGCATGCCAGATGCCAGCTTATCGTGCAAGCCCCTCTGTACGCCGTACAGTTGCTTAGAAGGGGCTGCCTTTTTCCTTTTCCTTTCAGATACATCCGTGAGGGCAGTGAGGGCCCCACCGGCGGCCACAGAATATGAGAGTGGGGGGTTTATTCAAGGTAGTTCTGGGCAAAGTGGGAGGGCATGTAAAGGAACACTTTACTTTGACCATAGAGCAGAGTGAGCTTGGTTGAGCACGATCCAGGGCTTTGCTGGGCATGCTCTTCCTACGTTGGAAGAGGCTGATTTCGAAAAGGACAGGTGCGACTTGGAATAGCAAAGCAAGAAAGCATGGCAAGCTTTATAAAGCTGAGTTTCGCCAGCACCGCTTGAGGACGATGATTTCAACTACCACATCGACTTTATTACTCAATGCGCAAACCTCCGAGCCGACAACTACCACATCACCAACTCGGATTTTCATAAGGCGCTGGGTGCAGTATGAATCTCCAAGCGCTCCAAGGATTTCGCACTTGATTTCCTGGTCCGATTCCTGTGGATTCCCTTGGCTTTGGGGTTTGGCCTTGGATCTTAGTGTGTTGAGACTGCAGGTGAAGCTAGTGGCTGGGCGTATCGTGCCAGCCATTGCGACCACCACAGCTTCCGTGTGTGGTTTGGTCCAAGCCCTATTGAAAAATGAGCACTTTTCTTTTTAAATCTTCTTCCGAACTCCTTCTCCGTGAGCGATTCTTTTGCTTCTACGTGCTCAGCCTTCTTGCTCCGGTATCAACCTGTACCGAGGTGATGTTGGAGCTCTTCAAACTGCTCCAAGGGAAGAAGACGGAGGGCTTTCGCACACGTCAGGCCATGACGGCCAGTCCGATTTTGTTCAAGACAAAGTTTTGAATCTTGAAGTTAAAAGTTCGTAGGAGTTAGAAGTTAAAAGACGAAGATCCTAAAATTAAGTTGTCTTAGAAAGCCTGCTGACATCCAAACAAACATGAAGCAAGAGAACTGTGAACAGAAAGCCAGTTGAGGCAAACGAGAGAGATACAGTAACGTATATGGTCTATAGTACTGTGACTGTAGTCTTTAGAATCCAATTGAATGTCACAGTCCCCAGATCTGACAAAGCCCAGATTCATCAATGACCCATTCCTGATCCTTATTTGCAGATTGGTCTTGCAATGAACACCTACACATCCTTCGAAGCTCAGGAGGGGTTACAGTGCGTACTGTGACAGCTTTGACAGCTTACTGAACCAAATGACAACTGCATCATTTCTTGTTTATAATAGCTTCTTGTTCCCTAGTAGTAAGGCCAGGAGCCCCTAGTAGCGAACATTGTTACTAGTAGCGATGCCCTTTGCTCCTAGTAGCGTCCTCTACTGAACCAGTCGCACTCCGTCTCTTTTGCTGCATGACGTCTCGCCTAGATGAAGTCATGGAGCATTGACCAGCTGCGCTCAATCTCACGGTGCAAGGAGCCGCGGTCATTCTCCTCAGGTGTTGAAAAGAAAGTGCCACGAGTGCCACCCTGAGCAAACCTCAAATTTAAGGAGCTACTTCATGAAGGGGCTGAAAGTGAACTAAACTTGGAATATTGAATGGTGTCAGTTAGGCCGAAGATTTACCACCCGAAGCCTTTGACGATGCTGGGAAGATAAAGGCCGAGACTCACCTTCAGAGATGCTGACAACACATTACTCAGAGTGATTTGCATTTTTTTTGTCGTATTTTTGCAAAGCTGGGCTGGCAGAGTCAATATGGACAGAAGCGTTGATATGCAGATAAAGGGTGCGGAGTGTGGAAGATGTTTTTCATTGTTTTTGAGCCACTCTTTCACTCCAGGCGGAATATGTCATTGAAGAGGCGTATGCATCATATCCTGAGAAGCACAGCGTTTGGGATAAGATCCACGTGCCCACAGGCACAATGACTCTGGAGGCTTGTGATACATTTCAGTGCAACTGCCAAACCACTGAGCGCAAATGAAGAGCTGCCACATTTTTCGGTTTCGAGCAGCGTTACTTGCAAAACAAGATCACAGACTTACACAAAAGGCCAGGTGTTGTTTTGGAGAAACAGAAGACACAAGGGTGCACGACTGAACACCAGTTCACAAGTGCGGTGGCTAGGGCTTCAAAGACTGGCTGGCCAAAGAGCACAAACTGCAGCGGCGCACTTAGCTCTTAGTACCTCCGACGCTCTTGAGAACTCTTGGCGTTGTGGACGCATGGCAAAACATGCCAAGGCTCCGGAACTGGAGCTTTGTTTTGGGCTGGAAGAGAGTTGTGGACGAGGCTGGGTGCAAGCAGAGACTACCTTGCGAATTCAAGCAACTGCAGACAAGATATGACATCACTGCGTTTTAATTTAAAGCTTCCCTCTCTTCTCTCTCTCTTGCATTGGCTCTTGCATTCGCCTGCAGGAGAACAAAGAGATGAAAGTCCCTTTCTCTTCGCAGATATTTCCTCCGCCAGTGTCCATTGATGCGAAGCTCTTGCCGCCTTTGACGGATGGGCAGGCCGTGCTTGCTTGTGCTTGATGGCTGTCGGAGTTTCGAGAGAAAACATGACACATGACTCCTTCGCAGGCTGATGCAATGAAGAAGATCATGGCATCAGCTGCAATACCTCAAGCCCAAAAGATGAAGTGCCAACATGCAATGTATTGATTTATTTGACCATATTTGACCTCACTTACCTTGAGTTCGGACAGGGAACGAGCTTGAACGACGCAGTTGTTTCGGCCAGGTATGTTGGAGAGTGGCAAAAGGCCAAGCAGTCCGGGAAGTTGCCCAACAACTCCAGCCAGGAGATTAGCGATGGCCTCCAACCGACATAGAGAAAGGACAAAAACAAGGAAAGAGAGAAGGACATAGAGAAGACATGGCAATGGCCTCCAACCTAATAGCAATGGCCTCCAACTGGGGTGGGTCAGGCCCAAAGCCAAGACTGGGTCTTACAAAAACATTCTGTTTTGATTCGGTTCTGGACCGCAGGAGATCAGACTAGACATGTCCTTGAAGGACACAAGCTGCTTTCATAAGTTGAACGTTTCTTTTTTCAGATGCACTTGCGTCACCTGATGGCGTCGTTTTGACAGTCCTTCGCACTGCAGGACATCCTCGCTTTAATGGAGGTTAAAGCGGAGAAGGCACTTCAGGCGGAGCGGCTGACCAAACAGCATCGCCCTTGAAACCGTGCATGCTTTTTCTGGATGTGTCGAAGACGCAGTGATGCAGGTCAAATCGAGAGTGTTGGAAGACCGGATGCACTAGTCTTGGCAGGATGGTTCCATCAACCCCAAGTGGGGGAAGGCAATCTCTGACTTAGCTGGTAGAAGGCGTGCGGCACTTGCGGGAGAGACAAACTTTTCAACGAGAATGCAATATAGAATAAATAAAAGCACCCACATTGTCCTTTTGATATGTTTTGAAGACGAATACCTTAGGTCTTGGAATTCAAAAGGTATTCAAAAGGATTATTCTTGGACCGTGCTTTTTGCGCAGGTTTTGGGTCATCCCTTCAGATCAAACACCAGACTGCGCGACGATCGATAAAGTGCCCCTGGACGTGCCTCAGCCCGAGGGTAGAAAGCTTCAAGGCCTTAGGCCTAGTAGGAGGCCATCGCTATTCGGAGCAAGGACGCTACTGGGGGCTCCTGGCCTTACTACTGGGAACAAGAAGCTACTAGGGGCCCCTGGCATCGCTACTAGGAGCAAGGACGCTACTGGGGGCTCCTGGCCATACTAATAGGAACAAGAAGCTACTAGGGGCCTCTGGCATCACTACTAGGAGCAAGGACGCTACT